TCTAGTTTGTCCAACATTTTGAATTTGGCCCTACCCTCCAAAGCACTTGCAACCCTTCCCAGCTTTGTATTATCTGTGAACTTAATAATTGTACTCTCTATGCTGTCATCTAAATCCTTGAAGATATTGAACAGAACCGTCCCCAAAACAGGCCCTTGCAGAACCTCACTTGTTAGCCCTTCCAGTACGTTTGTGAACCATTAATAACTACACTCTGAGAATGGTTCTCGAGCCAGACATGCACCTACTTTTATAGTAGCCCCATCTAAGTTATATTTCCCTAGTTTATTGATAGTCATGTGAGACTGTGTCAAATGCCTTACTGAAGTCTAAGTATACCACGTCATCACATAGCGTGAAGTTAAGATTAACTAAATCATTAATTCACTTGCTTCTTAGGAATAAACTAGTTATATGGTACATATTGATCTGTAATAACTTTACCTCAGTGCCCAGCAATGCTGCCTTAGTCAAGAATCCAGGATTAATTATTCTTTTTTAGGGTGGCCATCTATGGGAAAAGTAGAATGTTATGTTTCTGGAGAATTAAACGATGTCCCAGTTTCTGAGTTTCCTGACTTTGTGTTTTTCACTCCAAGGTAGTAGCAGCCCTCAATAATTACAGCTTAGCACTTGCCATAGTGCCCAATACCTAGGAATTATATACATCACATCTTGTATTGACTCTGTGTTGCTTGCAATACCTACGTACAAGGGGAATTAGTCAAGGAAGCAGCAGCAGCCTAAACACAAATTTTTTATATTAGTTTAATGTTATTAGAATCCTTAATCAGTGCCTCAAGCTTGTATCTAGCAGATTCCAGTGTACAATCTGTACTTGCAGGTAAGTGCTCATGTATGCTCTGGTAGTATTGTGACTCTTTTGTCTCCACTTCTCTGGAGACAGAATAGCTGCATATTTGCATTCTGTAGCCTGACATAATGTAACCAGAGGCAGAGATACCTTGGACTCTAGCTGTGATCTGCTCCATCTGTGTCAGCACATCAGGAAAGTGAATGCACTGAGCACAGTGAGAAAAAATGTCAAAGCCCTGAGGGAGGTGACTGGTGACATATGCTTAGTGGATGCCTGTTATATCTTCTCAGATTCTTGAACCCTTTCAGAAAACCTCCAGA